ACCACGCGTCCCTTTCGAGACGGAACACCGTTCCTACACCTACTAGAGACACCACCAACATTTGGGAGCTCTTTACGTTTCTGCCACAAACTCCATAAAAATTTCTTGCACATCTTATCCCCGTCCTCTAGGGCCTCTTGTGCCCACCATCTATCCCCAATTATCACGATCGTTTTTTCGCTGTTGTCTAATTAACCAAACTTGTCCATGTCACACCCTCTCTGTCTCATTTCCTCCTCGAGATCCTCTCTTTCCTTCCTGTACAACTCACACTCCCCAACTATGTGGGGTCTACTCTCCTCCGATTTGCCACATGGACATGTGTGTCTATCCTCCTCTTCCTCTCTCCTACGGCTGGTATACCTCTTCCTCCGTTCTGGCAAGTCCAGATCGCCTACTCGAAATTGCAATTTCAGCTTTTTCGCATAGTCCATGGGGCCGTCCAAGTACGTCTTCATCCCTATCCCTTCTTTCAACTTCCCGTATATCTCCAAGTGGTCTTCGCTTCGTACCTTCTTTCGAAGGGTTGCCTCCTCCCTACTCTCTAGCATCTCCTTGACTTTCGTCTTGAACCCCCCGAACCCTTCCGTGTCCAACGTCTCCTCCTCGTCTCCTATCTCCTTCCAAACCTTCTCTACCACCTTGTCCCATCTGATTCCCTTCTTCCCTGGAGTCGCTTTTCCCCAAGCTGCCTTGTCAACCATGGCTGGTAGTCTATCGTCCGATATTCTACTTACCTTGTACTGCCAATTCAACTTCTGCATGTCTCTCTTTGTTTTAAGAGAGTACATTCCCAATTCTGCTCTCAGTACAGTGTTGCTCGTTGTACTTGAACATCCTAATATTTTCTTGGCCGCTGCCATCTGCACCGTTTCCAGCTGCTTGACGGCCTTTTCGTTACCTTCCCATACCTCTCTTGCATACTCTAGCTTAGGTACAATCACATTCAAGAGAATACACCTCTTAATCGTAGTGTCTAGGTGTGGGTCAGTAAGGATCTCGTCCATCTTGCCTATCTGAGCTTTACCTTTCGCAATCAACTTCGCTATGTGTGCGTCCCATGAGCACTCCTTCGAAATCTCTACTCCCAGGTACGTATACTTGTCTACTACCGGTAGTTCTTCCTCCCCCCATTTCCATTTGAATTCTACGGGATTTTTCTTGTCTTCGTTACAGACCACTACTGCGCATTTTCCTACGTTCGCCGACAGTCTCCATTTTCGGGTGTATCCTACCGCCGCATCTATTTGTTCTTGCACCCCTTCTGGTGTTTCGGATACCCCCACGAAATCATCTGCAAACATCAGTCCGGACACACTCTTTCCCTCTACTTGGACTCCCTGTCTTACTGCTTCAACCGCCCTTATCAAGTCGTTGATGTAAATCTTAAAAAGAGTGGGTGACATCGTACAGGCCTGTGCGACTCCTTGGAGTATATCCACGTACTTCGAAATTTCCCCATCCAACATCACCGCACTTCTTGTGCATTCTGTCATCTTTTTCAACATCCTCCACATTTTCCCCCGGATGCCGATGTCCCACATCTTTTTCCACAATCCATTGCGCCATACGGTGTCGTAGGCTTTTGGTACATCGAGGAAGAAACAGTATGTCGTACCCCCGGCGTCTTTCCTACCTTGGATGATTTTACTCAACGTATATACATGGTCTACACAACTACGATCTGGTCTAAATCCAGCTTGTCCTTCGCTGATCTTTTTTTTTCCCTCCAACATGTCTCCCATTCTATTGTCTATCATCTTGCCAAACAGTTTCCCCACTGTGCTCAACAGGGTTATCCCTCTATAATTCCCCGGGTCAGCTTTGTCCCCCTTTTTGAACAGGTTCACGACTTCTCCTTCTCTCCATCTCTTCGGCGCGTACTCGTGTTTCCATATCCTGTTGAATATCCGGACCAACATGTTAATCATCCCCTCCTCCCCCTGTTTCAAAAGCTCGTTCACAATTCCATCGGCCCCTGCCGCTTTTCTATTCTTGAGTTTCGCTACGCAGTCCTCTACCTCTTCTCGTGTGAACTCTCCCTGCAACCCGTCTACATCACTACGTTCCCTCTGAGATCTTTCAACGTTTTCCTCTGCCCACGAGTTGATTTCCTTCTCAAACTCCGAGTCGAAGTTGTCGTTGGTGGTGGGTGTCCCAAATTTGCGGTAGTGCTCTACTAGTACTTCCCTCTTTCCTTTAGAACTGCTTACCATCTTACCCTCGGCAGATCTTAGTGTCGTTATTTCCGTGTCTCCCCCTCTCTTCCTGCCCACTATCCCTTGAATTCCTACCCACATTTGCTTCATCCCCCCCTCAAAATCTTCGTGAGTCTTTTGGACTACTTCCTCCCACAACCCTTTCGTCTTCTTCACGACCAACTCCTTCACCCTCTTTCTACTTTCAACATACTCCTTCCATCCTGCATCTGTTTTCCCTGCCGCATATTTTGCGTGTGACTCTCTACGTACTCGAATTGCTTGCTTGATTTCTTCGTCCCACCACTTCACTGCTCTCTTACAAACTATCAACTTTCTACCTAGAACTCTACTTGCTGTTGTGTTTACCAGCTCTTCCCACCCTTCTATGATTCTAGACCCGGCCTGGTCCCGGCCTTCGGCATCCTTCGGTGTACCCATTGCCTCTATCAACTCCGAGAGTTTCTTGTCGTTTATAGCCATCTCTTCTTGGAACTCTACCCTCGTTTCTTCTACTTCTAGCTTATCTATTCTCCATCTGTACATTTTCCTGCGTCGCCTACTCTGTATGACTCTCGTCTGTTGTAGGGTTGTCCACACCAACGCGTGGTCTGTAGTGCCTACATCCGTTGTGCATACTCGTACTTCCGTCTCTTTCCCCCCATTCTCCACGACAATATAGTCAAGGATGGAGCGTTCTCCTTTTTTGAAACATTGCCTAGTCCATTCCGGTTCTGTCTTTCGTAGGGGGGGGGTCATAATGATATTTAAATCCTCACTGTAGATTCGTGTTCTCTGCACACTTTCGATACGCATCCCTCCAGTCCACACTTAAAAACCCTCAAGTTTGACATTGGAAGAGTCAGTGGACAGCTTTCTGTCCGAGTAGCATGGACGTGACGGGACGTGCTGGTTCTTAACGATTGTCCTACAGATCTCTCTGCACGACTTCGTGGTGGGCTTGCTGAACTACTGCACTGACAGCAAGGAGAACCTCTCCCGGTT